TCTTTTTTCTTTCATTTTTCATCGTGGTAAAATATAGGTAACATAAAATATACCGCTTTAGCTATTTTTCAGTGCACGATTCAGCCGCACCAAGCGGACTTGACGTTGCTGTGCGTCCATCCCCAGGGCCTTCTCATCAATCCCACCTGTAACCCACAGCCACCAGACAGGGACCCCGGCCCCTCCCCCGCCCCTGGTAGCCACCATCCCACCCTCTGTCTCCATGAATTTCCTCATTCTGTGTGGTTTTCTTTTTATTTTAAAAAATGTAATGTATTTATTTATTTTGAAAGAGAGAGACAGAGCACCAGCGGGGGAGGGGCGGAGAGAGAGGGAGACACAGAATAGGAAGCAGCTCCAGGCTCTGAGCTGTCGGCACAGAGCCCAACGCGGGGCTGGAACTCCCGAACTTCAAGATTATGCCCTGAGCCACAGTCAGCTGCTCAACCGACTGAGCCACCCAGGCGCACCCCCCCACACTATTATGTTTTAAATTCACCAACAAAGAGTGAGCCCCGGGCCCCATCCTCAACCCCGATAATAGCAGCTCAGACCCCTCCCTGTGTGGCTGTGTGAGTGACCAGCCTTCGTTTCTTCAAGGGTTTCTGATGGTTACGGAAGGGTGCCTCACACTCACGGTAAGATCCACGAGGGCCGGTCCAGCCACATTGCTGCCTGAAAGGCTGAGACCCACCAGGACGCTGTCATAAGCCCGGCTCTAACTCGGACCACGGCGACAGTTGGAAGTCGTTGGCTTAGTGCCAGCATTTAATAACCCCGGAACCCTGAACCCTGAGAAGGGTTATTTCCTTCTGCAATCGCACAGTTACCACAGCAAGGGCACCTGCTCATTCTAACACTGCGTCTTCCCCTCGGGCTGCTCCTGACTTAGCTCCAAACCTTTTCGGTGGTCCTGAAACCAGACTCACCTGGAATGACATTTTTTTTTTTTAACACCGGAATTCTGGTCGCCTCGCGCAGAGTCACCCGGCCAGGAAAAGCCTACCCCCGCCCTTGACTGTCTCCCAGTCTGTAACCAGAGTCACATGTGAGCATGTCTCTGTTGTAAAGTCATCCCGAGAGAGGCGTGCACACGACACGCCTCCAGCCAGCAGGTCTAGGCTGGGCGATCGCTGACCACTGGCTGGGCCCCGCCTTCCTGGGGGACCCCCGTGCCGCTGGGGGACGTGGGCGCACAGAAGGACGGCCAACCCCTGGCCGCCCGGCCCCTCTCTGCCGCTGCCGCCAGCTTGTGGGGCGGTAGCAGGTGCGCCTGGCGATGTGTCTGCGAGGACATGATCCCAGGCAGCAGGTCTCTGGAGGCTTCTGAGGCCGCCACCACAATGGAGGCTCACGTGCAGAGATCCTGACTCAGTTGGCGTTTGACCCGGGGGAGGGCGAGGGGGGACACCAGGAAGTTGGCATTTTTACAAATGTACGGGGTGCGATGAGCGTCGGCTGTTATATGGAAATGCTGAATCACCAAACTGTACACCTGAAACTCATCTTACATTGGACGTTAACTGACTGGAATGTAAATTGAAGCTTTTAAAAAATCGAGAGCAATGCCTCTTGCAAAAATAGCTAGCAGACGGCTGGAAAAGGCAGCCGCTTGCAACTGTCCTACGCATTCAAAACACCTGGGAAACTGTACAAAATACTGATTAATCGCCAACCTAAAGATTCCAGTTTAATTAGTTAATTGGTCTGCCCGGGTGTTAGGAGTTTTAAAGCTTGCCAGGTGCTTCTAATGTGCAGCTAAGGCTAAAAGCACGAATTAATGACCCTCCAGTCCTGGACGTCAGCCGTAAAGCCACCCGTTGGGGGTGGGGGGCGGGGGGGCTGCTGGGTGTGAATCATCCAGACCATTGTAGCATTGTGAGATTGAAGCCCTAAGGCAGAGAGGAAGTAAACTGCTTCCTGGAACCAATTCCAATGGGGGAGGGGCTGGTTCCCACACCCCAAGCCGGCTTCCTGCTCCTCAACTTGTTTCTGACCCACGTACCCAGAAAAGGTGTCAGAGTCCACGGGCTAAGGGTTCGTTCCTACCTACAGGACTGCCCGCCCCGCCCCGCCCGAGGGTCCAAGGTCAAGTACAGGCTGCCAGCTGTACTTCCTCCGGCCCCTCACGGGTCTCCAGAGTCAGGGGGTGGGGCTAGAGGGGCCAGCCTCTGGTCACGTGGGGGCTCCTGGGCGCCCCCCCCCTTACGTGGGGTCCAAATGCCACCTCATTCATTAACTAAAGGTGCCTTTAGGGCTCTTGCACTTAGGAAATCCCCAAGGTTTTAGGAGCTCTGGGTAGGAACACGATGACCACGCGTGTATTTCTTATAAATCACACTATCGGGAAGGAGCCCGTGTTTCCGGAGGGTCTGCTCCACAGGCAACGGCCTGGATGCTGTCAGTGTATTTCCTTGTTCAGTTCACACCTGGGTCCCGGGAGGGTAACTGTCATTCTTTTCCCGGGGTGTGGGTGGGGGGCTGGAGTGGAGTCGACTCCCACCGGTTAAACCATTTGCCCGCAGTCACATAGCAAGCCGGTGGCAGAAACTAGACCAGATCCAGGGCCCCCCCCGGAAACGGCCTGTCTGCCCGGGGAGCCGCCTGGCCTGACAGCCACTCACTAGCATCTAACTGGAGCTTGGCTAACAGGTACCTCCGGAGGGGGGGGGGAAGCGGGGGCAGTGCTGTCCAGGCCCAGAGCTTCCGGAGTGAGAAAGACCACATCGGGAAAGGTCCCCAGGACCCAGTCAGGGGAAGCGTGGGTCCCAAAGAGCTCGTCGGGGCATAGCTCTAAGAGCAGACAGAAATGTCAGTTCACAGAGGCCTAAGAATCCCACCCGCTGAAGCTGGTGCCAGGAGCCCGGGGGCCGGGCTGAGGATGCAGCAGGACGTGGGGGTGGGGGTGGGGGGCGCACAGACTCAGACGGCGCCCACTGCCCTTTCTTGAGCAGGACTGACCTTCATTCTGAGATCATAAGAAATGAGAGCAGGTGGTCTTTGTGAGCCCCCTACAGCCTTGGTGAAACAGAAAGGTGTTTCTGTTTCTCCTGTATCTCCTCTGCCTGTATCTCCCTTTGCTCGGTTGGCTTTTTTACTGGCCTGAGAAATCAGCCACCCTGGAAACCAGGATAGAGCGAGCCGAGGCGAGGAGGTGCAGGCAGCCACTGTACATGATCCTTTGCAGATCAATGCTCTCGAAGCATCATCGCGGGATCACCCGGGCGTTAGGAAGGCAGGTTCCTGGTCCCTACCCCAGACCCACAAAGTCAGAATCCCTGGAGGGACCGACATTCTGATGTCACAAACGCTGCGGGTGACTGCTGCTCCCCAAAGGGAGAGAACACTCCTGCTTGTGAAGAGGCCCAGAGAAGGGGGGAGTGGGGGAGAGCCATGTGGGATTGAAGGGCAATTTTTGTGGTTGTTTTAATGTAGAAAATACTTGAGCTTTAAAATAAAAAGTATTGAAATAAAATATTTCAGGTGCTTGGGGTGCCTCGGTGGCTCAGTCAGTTAAACGTCTGACTCTTGATTTTGGCCCAGGTCATGATCTCACAGTGCGTGGGTTCGAGCCCCACGTCGGGCTCTGTGCTGACAGCTCGGAGCCTGGAGCTGCTTCAGATTCTGTGTCTCCCTCTCTTTCTGACCCTCCCCTGCTCATGCTCTGTCTGTCTCTCCTTCAAAACAATAAACATTAAACATTAAAGAAAAATAAAATCCGCTTCCAGAAAAACGCGTGTCCTGCATGGAGAGCGGGATGCATTTCCACAGTCAGCACCATCGGGGAAGCAAATGAGACTACGAGACGGAACGCCACCAGCGCCCCGGATCCCAGGGGCCCTGTCCTGCCTCCCCATCACCGCCTGACCTGTGGTGGCCGCGGCCTGTTTCACGTGTTCCTGCCCCTTACGTTACGGAAGCAGATGGAACGTGCCCCTTCTCGCCCGGCTCCGGCCCTCGTCACTGTGTTCCTAAGACCCGCCTGACCTATCGCAGCCACCCCAAGAGCGTTCCTTCGTGTGGACACGTGGCTCACTCTGCCCGCAAGGCGGGTGTGGCTGGTCCCAGCGTGGGACTGCCCCGTGTCTGCGGTCCACGTGCCTGTCTGTCACCTACCTAGCACAGGTCATGCGTTCTCGACCCTGCTGAAACGTCGTTGGGAAGGGATTGTGGAAGGTCATCAAGCCGCGAGACAGAAAGGGTCAGTGGGGGGGGGGGGCGGGGGCTCCTGGGGAAGCCAGAGGCGAGAGCAAGTAGGGCCTGGCTCTGCCATTGCAGGGGGGAGGAGAGAGCCCAGCGCAGGTGGGTCGAGCTGGGGTGGCCACGAGGGGCTTCCTGGGGCTGCAGGCCTGGATTGGCTACGTGGGTGGGAGGCAGGGTTGTCTGCTCGGGTGCGTGTGAGGGTCGGGATTTGGGGCCGGGGAGATGGGGTCTGACGGGTCAGCACCGGTGACTTGAGAGCGGGGACTGGGCCCGCCGCGCGCCTGCAGCACCCTTCCGGGCTATGCCATGTTGCCGGACACCAGGGGCTCGGAACTCAGGGTCCAGGCACCGCCCCAAGGGGTCTGCAATACCACCTGCTGGGCAGGAGGCACATGATGCCCCAGGAAGTCCCCCCTGCACCCCCCACGGGCTGCTCCCCAGACATGCCCACGCCAGACACGCCCACGCCAGAACGTGGTCGCATGCTGAGCCCTGACCCAGGCCACACTGAGTTGTGAACACGCCAGGGGATCCAGTGGCTGCACCCCTAGAAAGGCAGGGGTCCTACCTCGCTGAGCTGCTCCCTGTGACAGGCCCCCAGCCGTGGGAGCCCCTGCGCCCTAGTGGGGCAGGCTCTCACGCAGCGTCCCTGGCTCCGTGCCCTGCCCAGACCTGTTCTAGATGCACACCACCCTTCCCCAAGGCTGCCTCCACCTCCCACAAGCCAAGCGCGGGCGAGGCCGGCACCCAGCTAGGCAGGCCGGCAGGCAGCAGTGCCGGGGTGGCCGCGGCGGGGCATGGAGACCACAGCAGGGCCGGCCGTGCTCTACCAAAAGCTGCTGCTCTGGGATCCGAGCTTGGAGTCTGAGGAGGAGGAGACCTCAGAGCTGGTGGCTCCCGATGCCTGGAGGCCCCAGGACGCCTCGGGGTGAGTCAGGGAGGGGTCTGGGCGCCCGGCAGCTCAGGCCTGAGGCCAGCAAGTCCCTCCCTGTGGAGCCCCTACGGTGGGGCCGGGGGTCAGACCACCCCACACCTGGCTCGGCTCCAGGAACGTTCTGGGTGAACAGGAAGGAGTGGAGCTGCGGCCCCAGAGCGTCCGAAGGGACATCTGAAGGAAGCCAGCCCAGCCTGCTCTGTTCCCAGCCCCCACCTCCTGGGGCACCTGCCAGGTGGGCTGGAGCCGGGCCACACCCGCCGGGCCCCGCTGCTCAGCCAGCCAGGCCCGTCTGCGGCCTCCCTCCTGCCTCCTCCTGGGGCCCCCCCCAGCTGTCCTTGGTGTCCCCCAATCTCCTTCCAATCACGTGTCTCGCCTATGCAGTGTCCTCCACCAGGAGGCCCTTCTCCTTCTGGCAAAATTGTACTCCTCATGCAAGTAAGACCTAATCTTTCGGGAAACATTCCCCGGGGCCCCTTGGGGCTCTTGCCCCCCCCCCCCCACCCAGCCCTGGCTCAGGACACCTGTCCCTGCAGGAACAAGGCTGGCAGGCTGCCTGGGGCCTGGGCCCGCCTGGTCGCGGCCCTGCTGCTGTTGGCCGTCGGCTTCTCCCTGGCGGTCAGGCAGCTCCACACCAGCGGCGGCTCTGCGGCCCCTGCACCCAGCGGCCACGCTCACCCCCCCGGCGTGTACCACCACGGGGCCGTCGTCAGCCCTGCAGGTCAGAGCTGGGAGCTGCTGGGGGAGGGGAGGGCCAGGGTCACGCCCCCACCCCCCACCCCTCCCGTGACGGTCTCCTCTTACCACAGCCACCTGCTCCCGCCTGGGCCGAGAGCTGCTTGTCGCCGGGGGCAATGTCGTGGACGCCGGCGTGGGGGCTGCGTTGTGCCTGGCTGTCGTGCACCCTCACGCCACGGGGCTAGGTCAGTGACCCACAGCCCAGGCCCGCCCTTGGGTGCTGACCTCGGGGCTGCTCACTGGCAGGACCCAGGGCTTCGGCAGGCGCCCAGCCCCAGGCTGTGGCCCCTGCTCCCATATCCGTGTGATCTTGACCCCCTCTCCAGGCCTAGTGAGCAGCTCCTGACCTCAGGCTAAGTCGGTGACCCTTCACCCGGGCCACCGAGGAACCCTGACCCCCGCGTCCTGACTCCTGTGCGACCCCTCTGCCTCCTTCAGGTGCCATGTTCTGGGGCCTCTTCCACAACAGCACCGCAGGCAGGTCGACTGCCCTGACGCCAGGCCCAGCCCGGACGCTGGCCCCTGGCCTGGGGCTGCCATCCGCTCTGCCAGCCCTGCACCTGCTGCACACGCACCTCGGCCGCCTGCCCTGGCCACGCCTGCTGGTGGGCCCCGCCGCACTGGCTCAGGATGGCTTCCTGGTGGATACAGCCCTGGCCAGCGCCCTGGCCGCCCAGGGCACAGACGGCCTCTGTCCGCTGCTTTGCCACACTGACGGGACCCCACTGGGCCCCGGGGCCCGAGCCACCAACCCCAGCCTGGCAGCAGTGCTACGCAGGGCAGCCCTGGCCCCCACCCCGGACCTGGCCGGGGACGCTCTGCTGAGCCTGCTGGCCAGAGACCTGGGGCTGGAGGGACCCTCGCCTGGGCCCGCGGCCACCCTGGAGCCAGCCCTGCAGCTTCCTGTGCCCCAGGGCATCCTGTCCACCACCCCCAGCCCCTCGGCTGGCCCAGAGCTGCTGGTGAGGGTGGAGGCAGCCTTGCGCCCTGGAGCGCCCAGCCCTGACCCCTGCCCGCCCCTCCCACAAGCCCCTGGGAGCCCTGGGAGCAGTGTCCTGGCCACCATAGACAGCAGCGGCTCTGTGCTCCTTCTCAGCTCCTCGCTCAACAGCTCCTTTGGCTCTGGACTTCTGTCCCCAAGCACCGGGGTTCTGCTTAGCAACCTGGTGGCCGAGTCTGCAAGTAGTGGCTGGGCCTGCCCCCTCATCCTCCATGGTGGCTCCGACGACACAGAGGCTGATGTGTTGGGGCTGGTGGCTTCAGGGAGCCCTGTGGTGGCCAGAGTCATGACTCGTGCCCTGATCAGTCACCTGGCGGGGCCCCAAACCCAGGCCCAGCAGCAGCAGCAGGGGACAACACAGAGCCCTAGCCTTTGTGGCCAAGGGACCCTGCTCCAGGTGGCTGCTCACGCAGAGCACGCCCATGTCTCCAGTGTCCCCAGTGGCTGCTGCACCTTCCAGGGCTTCTAAGTATGGGCCAGAGGCCTGCAGGGGGTAGGGGAGGGGGTCTGCAGCCTGGAGGCAGGGGAAGAGCAGGCGGAGCAGGGACGAGTGGATTCAGAGCACACTGCTGCCTCAGGCCCACAGCCTCTGGCCTGCTCAGTTATCTGGATGGAGTTCTGGGTCTTTTTTCAGCCAAGGAACCCGAGGACCATGGGGAAAGAGCACCAGGCCCTGGGGCCGGCCCTGAGTTTGGATCCGGCTCTGAGAAGGTCAAGGAGAAAGATGCCAGGCCCCTGCCTTGGCTCCAGGCCCCACGGGCAGGCCCCCTTGGCAGAGCCCAGGGTACTGACGGCCTCTCTGTCCTTCCCTTCAGGCCACCCTCTGCTGATCTCTCTCGACTGGGCTGGAAACATAATAAAGATCAAGTCTCCTGGATGCCTTGTGCTGTTCCTGTTCTTAGTTCCCCACCAGGCTCTGAGGTGCGCAGGGGCCGGTTTCCCCCTTGGGCAGCACGGCTGACCCAGACCCAGACAGGCAGAGGCTGGGCCCTGGTCTTCCCGCTTCGCCCTGCTCACCATGTGCCTCTGGGGCACCGTATGTTTTCACCTCACTTTCTAAAACAGGCAGCACAGCAAGAAGGGGTTGAGAGGAGGAGCAGCAAGCGGCCTAGAGGCCTGGGTCCAAAAGTGACTGGAGCTGGGGTGTGGGATTTGAGGGGGGCCGGGAGGGGGGCGTGACACTGCCTGCCTCCCACATCCCCCAGGGCTGGGGTCCCTCGGGACTACAACCCTCTGGAGCTTCTCCAGGCCCCCTGCACTCCCGCCCGCCCTCGGAAAAGTCATGTGTGATGGTGTAGAACTCTCGATCAGCAAAGAGAATCCGCCCCCAGCGCAGCGGAGGGTACCACCATCTACCCAGTTACTTAACGTTAGCCTCCGACGTGGCATTCCTGTCTTTTCTTCTCCCCCACGTCCATCCCCCCCTTTCCAGCTCCAAATGAGCGGGAATCCGACCTGATTTCATATTAATCCGCGGTGGGTCTCTAACCCTTCTTGCTGCGTCTACTCTGCAATCCGACAATCCGGTCGCCACACAGCCGCAGAATAATCTTTTAAAAACGTAAATACGATCGAGGCTTGTCCTTGCCTCAAACTCTGCAACGACTTCCCAACCAGGCTCAGATTAAAATCCAGCAGCGAATGCGCCCGGGCCGGCCCCGCCCCCAGCCGACACAGGCCCCGCCCCCAGCCGACACAGGCCCCGCCCCCGGCGAGACCCCGCCCCGGCCGGTCCCCGCTGCACCGCCCCCCCCGCCCCCGCGCGCTAGTCCAGTGCGCACGCGCGGCGACCTGACCCGGAAGAGGTCGTCTTCAGGGCCCACGTGTTCGAGGAGCATGGCGGAGATGGAGAGTCAGGACGTCGCTGGGCCCGCGGCCCCCGGGGAGGCGGGCAAGAGCAGCGCCCGGCCCGCCGACCGTGAGGGCCTGCTGAAGCACAGCCGCGAGTTCCTGGACTTCTTCTGGGACATTGCGAAGCCGCAGCAGGAGACGCGGCTTGAGGCCACGGAGAAGCTGCTGGAGCACCTGCGCGCGAGGCCGGAGGTACGGCGGCGGGGCCGGGGCGGGGGCTGCGTGCGGGCGGCATCGAAGCGCGGCGGGGCCGGTAGCGGGGCCGGGGGGCGGGGGTGGGCCAGCGCGGGGCGACCCTCCACACCCGCGGATGCGCTTGGTTCCGCAGGGATCGGAGATGAAGTACGCCCTGAAGCGCCTCATCACGGGGCTCGGGGTCGGGAGAGAGACCGCCCGGCCCTGCTACAGTCTGGCCCTGGCACAGGTGAGGTGGCGGCTCCCGGAAGGGCCCAGGCTGCTGGTCGTGGCGCTGGGGAGTGAGGAGGGCAGCGGTCTGAGCGGAAGCCTGGGGGGGGGGGCGGGGTGGGCTGATGTCCTCACGTGGAGGCGGGAAAAGCGTCTCAGCGAGGCCGGCATCCCGAGAAGCCCCGGCAGGTGGAGGAGGAGGATGGTAGTGGGCTGGCCAGCCTCTGAGGTCTGTCTGCTGGGGAGAGTCTGCTCTGGGGTGGCTTAGCTTACTTGTGCAAGGCTCAGGGCTCTCTTCAGCTGGTTGGTCATAGGCCACCCCTGCGGAACGTGGGCAGCTGGTGGGGAGGGCGGGGAGTAAGTTCCAGTCATTTAGGGAGGTTCTGGAAGAGCTGAGTAGGCTGTGGAGACACACTGGGCATCTCAGGCCATCTAGGAGCCGGAGGAGATGCCCCCTGAACCTGGAGTGGTGGTGAGGCAGGGAGGAAGGGCTCGGCTTCACCTGAGCAGCGCTGCTCCTCACCAGCGCTGTTTGGGGCGGTGGTCCAGGGCCTTGGGGCCGGGAGTCAAGGAGGCGGAATCTCTTGGGTGGGGCTGGATGTCCCCCTGAATCCCTCTCCCCCTCCTGCCCCACCCCCACTCCGCAGCTGTTACAGACTTTCGAAGACATCCCCTTGTGCGGGATCCTGCAGCAGATCCAGGAGAAGCATGACCTGCAGAAGGTTAAGAAGGTGAGACTGGGTGGCTTTACGGGGATCTCAGCACAACCCCCCCCCCCGGCCCCCGGTGGGGACGCCAGGCTCTTCTCACCCGTGCCTGAAATTCTTTTCCAGGCAACGATGAGACCCGCTCTTTTTGCAAACCTGTTTGGGGTGCTCGCCCTCTTTCAGTCAGGCAGGCTGGTGAAGGTGAGAGCTTTGGCGCCGGGGGGAAGCGCACTGGCTTGGGAGTGGCGGGCGGGGACGGTGGCACGGCCTCCTCACGCCCTCTCCCCGCTGCGGGCACCAGGACTCCGAGGCGCTGATGAAGTCGGTGAAGCTGCTGCAGATCCTGGCCCAGCACCACAGCCACCTGCAGGAGCAGCCGCAGAAGGCCCTGGTGGACATCCTGTCAGAGGTACGGGCTGCACAGCTGTTCCCCGGGCACAGCGACGGGGCGAACGCCCTAGAGCAGTGTCGACCCGTAGAAACCTGAGAGCGCGCAACTTGGCGTTGATTGGGACCTCGATTAAAAAGCGGGACGGAAGCGAGAGTCGTTTAGTGACGCGTTTTACGTTCTCTATCAAGTTTCTGGAATCTGGCACATGTGTTATACTTAACGCACGTCTCCCCTCGGGTCAGCACATTCCAAGAGCCCAGGGGCTGCCGTGTTGGACGGTGCAGTTTCTAGAACAGTCCCTGGCCTGTGGCGAGTGTCTTCTGGACAGAGCTGGCCCCCAGGTCCTTGCTGCCCTGTACCTGGCACATGGAGGTGGGCTCGTCACCGGAACCCTTGGCTCCCGAGGACAAGACCAGCACTGGCGCAGCCCCAGCCCCAGAGCGGGAAGGACTTGGCTTCAAGTTCCAGCTCTCTACTCAGGGTCCTTCATGTAGGAAAAGAGCTAGTCAAGAAAAAAACGAGCAGTAATCGAGAGGGTTAAAAGGGAAGCCGGTTAATTAGTGTTAGCTGGGTAGTTGATAAAAATTCCACTTCTTGGGACTGGGGATTTGAGCTTCTCGACAATGCCTTGTACTGGTTCTGATGCCTCGTGGTGGGTTATGGCTGTGCCATGTCAGACAAGCACTGTGTTGGGTCCTCAGGGAGCCTGGCAAGCAGGTGGAAGGGGAGGGCCATCGGGTGCTGGGAGGGGCCCTTCCCCCAATCTGTGCCTCCCGTCCCCAGGTCCCGAAGGCCATGCTGCAGGAGATCCTGCCCAAAGTCCTCAGAGCCGACTTGAATTCAGTGCTTGGCTCCCCCGAGCACCTACAGCTCTTCCTCTTGGCCCAGCAGAAGGTGCCCAGAAAGCTCGAGGAGCTGATGGGACCGGTCAACCTGTTCTCGGATGAGAACATCCCCAGGTTCGAGGGGATTGGAGGGTGGCTGCCCTGGCCCACTGACTGGTGGTGTGGATTGGCGCGGGGGGGGAGGGGGGGCGTTCCTGCAGGTGCGAGGGGGCTAGAGATGGGCTGCACCGGGGGTGGAGGGAGGGTGTTCCTTCAGGTGTGAGGGGTGGAGATGGGCTGCACCTGGGGCGGGCGTTCCTGCCGTGGGAGGAGGTTGGAGATGGGCTGCCCTGGCCCTCCACAGACTGGTGCTGTGGCAGGGGGCGTGTTCCCGCTTTCTGAGTCCCCCCCGCCCCTCCCAGACTGGTGAAAGTACTGAAGATGGCTGCCTCGTCCGTGAAGAAGGAGCGGAGGCTGCCCGCCGTGGCTCTGGACCTGCTCCGCCTGGCGCTGCAGGAGGGCAAGTTCCCACGGTTCTGGAAGGACATTGTGGAGCAGGGGCTGCTGAAGAAGCAGTCCTGGCCGGTCAGGTGCGTGCGGTGCCGGTCCTCAGCCTCTCCCCTGCGTGTTGGGGGGGCGGGCTCGGGGCCTACGTCCACTGGGGCACCTGGACCCTGACGGGCTCCGCCTGCGCCCAGCAGCTACCTGTGCTTCCGCCTGCTGGGTGCGGCCCTGCCCCTGCTGTCCACAGAGCAGCTGCCCCTGGTGATGCGGGGGGACCTGATCCGGCATTTTGGGGAGCACGTGGTCACTGCTAAGGTGAGTGTCGCCCCCAGCAGCCCAGCACTGCCAGGAGGGTCGGGGCGCCAGGTCCTGGCAGGGAAGGGGCAGGCCATCTCGGATCAGCGGTTTCTGGTTTGCTGCACATGTGGGGCTCTTCCTCCCTCGGTGGTCTTGCTTGGGAACCAGGGTTCCGTTCCTCAGGGTGAGGTGAGCTACCTGAGTCCCCCAGACCCCCCCACACCAGCTGCAGGGAGCCCTGTGCCCACCAGCGTGCCCTGCACTAGGCCCGAGCACCAGACAGGAGAAGCAGGTGCCGGTTAGGAGCTCGGGGTCGGGAGCCAGACTGAGGGTCCTGCTTTAGACGCCACTGCTCACTGGCCGTGTGACCCTTCCCTGGGGTTGTCCCTGACCAAGACCAGAAGAGCAGTGTCTCCCTTGGCCTCTGTGAGGACAGCAGGGTGAAAGCCCAAGGAGGTTAGGTGCCCAGGAGGTGGCACTGTGATGCCAC